CTCTGTTCCTTCACTGATCCAGTCCTTGTTCAGCTTAGTTGCATTTTTTGGGTGGTTTTTGTTGTTGTTCTGTAACAGTAACATGATGTGCAAATGTAAAGAGCTGAAACAGGGAAGAGAAGAGCAAACCAAAACTGCTCTTGGTTGTGTCCAATGTGTAATTAAATGAGTACCTCTGTATATTTTTAAGAGGTTTAAAGTGGTCTCTGGATTGCTGCTCATCTCATTTCACGCTGCCCTGCAGTGTTTTCACTTTCGGTGCCCTTTGACTCTGGTTCTTAAATCTATTATATAGGCTCCCCTTCAGATCTTCTTTCAAGGCTCTGCACCTGAACTGTTGTCTGGTGCAGAATCTCTTGAGTGCTTTTAGCACTGAGTGCACAACATCCCCAGGTTCCTGCTCACCACTGCAGTGCTGTCCTCAGGGAATTCCAGAAGCTTGCTCAGTGTGGCCTCTTCTGCCTTCCAGCATCATGGCCTCAAGCAAGCAGCTTTCTGCATTTTCATAGCATACTTTCTCTCCACAGTTGATTTTCAGCATTCTGGCTGATAGAGTTACCACTCTTCTCTTGACCTGATTCAAAGCGATATTAAAATGAACGCTTTTCTAACACAGTTTACCAAAGATGAAGTCTGTATTGTAGGAGTCTGAGCATGGGATCGTTTGTGTGACTCGTTGTTGTTGTGATGGACTAAGAGCTAAGATGTTTTTAAAGACATAGGAGCTTTTGTGTATAAGAGTTTGGTATGAATAATAAAGTTTCTGGGTTTTTACTCGGGGGGATGCAAGTTTGTGGCATTCTTCCATTTTGTTTTGGATGGTGCTTGTCTGAAAGCTGCGATATGCTCATTTCTGGTTTGCAGATAAGGCATTTTTAGAGCAAGCTGATAACACACCAAAGTCTCTGAAACCCTAAAGTTGTGGTTAGCATAAAGTTTAGGAAATTAGGTCACCATTACCTCACTGTTCTGTTGTGGTTTTTTAAATTATTTTCTAAATTTTAAATCCTGTCACTTCTCCTGTAGTTGCCGCTGTTGCTGTTTCACCAGTAGAACCCTGGTGAAGATGGACGGAATTCCAAGCTGGCAGCTTGAGGAAGCTTGAGCCTGAAGGCCTGAAGCTTCAGAGAGGTGACTTCACTGCATGAAGGCAGGAGAGAAACAGCTGTGCAGTGTGATTTGGGAAGGGAATGTCTGAGTGCAGACTCATCTCTGACACTGCAGCAATAGATTGGATCTGGGATCAGAGTGTTTTGCAGAGCTCCTGGTAGGAGTTGCTCTCTGGATCCACAGCTCTGCGGTTATTTGCCTTCTGGAGATACACATTTATTTGGATTAACTTCACAGGGAGCCTAGACATAAATTTACAAATTTATGCCATGTGTAAAACTACATGGCATAAATTTGCCCTCACAGCTGTAAGTAGTGAGGTGAGAGTTAAACTCACCATGGGGAAAAGCAAAGATGGGAATGCCTGCCCAAAACCAGTCTGGAATTTGAGTGTGGTGAGCACATCCCTCATGCTGGTAACTCTAAACGCAGTGGTTGCTTTGATTTACTATTTGTTTGTCACAGTAATGATCCTTGTAGGATCAGTGATGATCCAGGGCACTGCCTGCTCTGCACAATATGAGGAGTTGGACTCCATGCGCACAACCAGGTGGTTGCATCCAAGATGGAGTTGGGGGTTAAAATGATGCTGTTCTGTGTTGTCTGAGATAGCAAAGAAAATGCAGTAAGTAATAGCCTGCTTGCTGGAGCAACGTGCTGCAAGGCACAGACACATGGCTGGTGCTGGGTATGTGTGCAAGCTTGAGAGAGAGCAGTGGTGCTGGAGTTGTGGGAGTGGGTGTCTCATCAAACTTGCACAGCAGTTGCCTGGTAGATGATATTTTTTTATTCCTTCTGGTATTACTTTGGTACACAGAACTTCCAGCCAGAATCAGAGCTCTGAAAGTTCTTTTTTGAACTCTGTTAATACAAAACTCTCTCACTTCTCTGCTTTCTTAACTGGTATGACAGACCAAACTAACCAACCCCTCTGAAGCCCTAACGCTCCTTTTGCAGCTACTTCAGACCTCTGCCATCTCCCATTGCTTGTTTCTGTTCTGGTGATTTGGTCTGTGGACTTCAACGAGCTTTCAGTGATGCTGTTGTTGCTGTTGTTTTTAAAGAGGGAATGCCCAAAGGGTTCTGCTTGCATTGTGATCAGGAACAGGTCAGGGGTGTTCCTTGTTCTCACTTGGCCCCAAGTATGAGGTGAGCTGCTTTCTGCAGGAGCTGACTGGCATCACACCCAGTTGCCTTTGGTTCCCATTTACTTGTCTTATGACTGATTCAGAAAGAAAAATTGGAGTGGTGGGGCTGGGTCATGTATTGACAGTGCACCAAATAACAGAAGAGATAAATGGGCAGGGCACTGCAGGTGCAAACTTCTCTTCCTGCCATTGCACGTTTTTGTTATTCTGGATAAGGCAGAGCACCCCAGCCTCATTTGGGGTCTGTAGGCACAGCTCTGATGGAAGAGGTAGCAGAAGGGCTGTTGGAACAGTGACTGTAGTGTTTTAAAGTAGCAGCTGAGCACAAATGTTTGCTGTTGAGCTTCTTGGGAGAAGGGGCACAGGCTGATACAGCTCCCACAGTGCTTCTGTTAGCTGGCTTCTGTTGTGAATGCTGAAACCTCAGGCCTCCTGTATTGACTGCAGATTTTCACTTTACTGGGGTATTTGCAATGCATGATGCATCACCTCCAATTCCTCCCCCCAGATGACGACAAAGCTTTGCTCTCACAAAGCAGCTGGCTTCAGCCCCACGGGCTGCCTGCAGCCTCCGATCTGCAACAAACATTCTGCTGCCGGAGAACACTGCAGAGCCAGCTCTGCTCATTGCAGCAGGCAGAAAAACATCTCTGTGCTCTTTTGCACTGCTTTCAGAAATGTGACCTTAGTTAACTAGGCTAACTACTCTTTGTAGACAGGAACTGGCTTATCCAATGGTGAGTCATTACCTGTGACTGCTTCAAATAAAGAAGATCTTTTAAATCTGTTTTGCAAACTGACAATAAAATCCTATTTGAGCTTTTGTACAGTGGAATGGCTGCTTGTGCTCTGCCTGCCCAGTCCCGCAAACTGCACCTACACCCACCGCCTCATCCACTTACCTTACCATCATAGCAACATTGTTCAATGCTCAACCTTTCTTCCTCCAGTCAGAAAGGTACTTCAACACGTTCATTAAGCATGAGCTTAATGAGACTGTGATTTACTTTGTGTTCTCCTGGTGCTAGGGCATCAGTAAGCAGAGCACCGTGCAAACAAGTCCCCCGCAGTTCGAGCAGGATGGTGCCCACAGCAGCTTTGTCTCCTGGAGGCAGGGACAGATGCATCCAGGTGTGAGGTAGGGGAGGGGTGGAACAAGGGGTGGGGGAGGGAGAGGAGGAGGAGGACGGGGACAAACGTGCCATTCATCTTGCACACCTTCCATTATTCGTGAAAGGCTGCAAACTAGAGAGAAGCTGCAGATACACAATTGATCAGTTCACTCTCATGAAACGCTCCTCCATCTTCAGTTACTCTGTCTCATTTCCAAGGCCACAGCATCCATAGCCCAGAGGATCGGGACATCAGGGCCCTAAATATTCTGAGTGTTCATTCAGTGCAGAAATAGAAATGATAGCTGCTGTAGGTTAGCAGTGTGTGCTGCTCTAGGCAGTAATAAGTCTCTAGAGAAATCAAGACACAACAGCTATTGCTTCACAATCACCAGGAAAGCATAAAATCTGGTAATTCACCAAGTGCAATACAGTGCATTAAACAGAGAAATGTAGGAGTGGGAAACAGTTCTGTGCTGATCCAGCTCTGGGGAGGAGGGCATCACTTGAACGTAACAGCAACAAAAAACAAACAGACAAAAGAATACAATAGAAAAATTTGCCTTGCTTGCAAACATAACAGAGCAGAGTGATGGAGAATTTTCTTTTCACACAAGATCAATGGACGAGCAAGAGACAAATAAGAGGCAGCAGCCTGAGTGACAGCTGGGCACAGACAAGTTCCCCTGCTGCTGCTGGTGGCCAGAGCCCACTTCCAGGAGGAGCAGCCAGGAGATGTGCTGAGCTGGGAGTCAGACCTGCTGGAACCTGGGGGTTGAAAGCAAGAGTTGAGATGGTGCCCCAGCTGTGCTGTGCTTCTTTGGGAAAAGAGGCATGAAATTAAAGTTAGATTCCCTAATAGAACACAGGAACCACGTGAAATTCATTGTAACACAACTTCAAAAGCATCACAGATGAAGCATCTGTGGATCACAGGTTTATTTTTAATGACACAGCACTGGAAAACAGAAGTTACAGGTGACTTCTTGATACAGCATACGTTATGTACCTAAAATCCTTAAAAGAATCTGTGAAGGTACGCTGCATAAATACTTGTTGTGAAAATATGTTTATTTCTCAGAGATTAACTTTGTCGTGTTTTTTTTATTCAGCCAATTAAATAAAAAAGTACATGAGCATCATAACAGTTCCCCTTCCAGATTACCTCACTGTAACTACTGCAGCCGGAAGAGGAAACCGAGCCATGCCTTCTCAAAGGTTCAGCAGCTTTGAAAACGATGCCATTCATCATCTCAGAATGAAAATCTCACATCACTAACATGGATACTGTGCAGTGCTTTGGCAATGGAGCAGCTGGTTCTGCTTTGGAATAAAACTGTTGTCTGTAATGCCAGATAGTGGGAGAGCAATGCATGCACTGATGATACTGCACAGCCAAAGCACTGCATGACATTGTTGAGACGCACACATACCCACATGCACCTGCAGACACACGTCCAAGTTCCCATGTAGATACACTGTGCACGTCCAAAGGTAACACTGAAAAACGTTGCAGCAGTTAATTATATTTTTTAAACACGTGAAACTTGTAGTAGTTTGACCTCATTACTACAGGATTACTAATTAAGTTTTCTGCAGTGCAACTCAATACAATGCACTGAGTGCAGAGTTCAGGTTTTGCTATCAAGGAGGCTAACTTTGGATTTCATGGGAAAGGACCTAACACAGGATCACCACAGCTCTGGCAAAGCACAAACAAACCTGTTGCCACGTGCATGTGAACAAATGAGGACATTTCTGTTTGTATTTGATTTGTTTTCACGCACTGCTTCAGAAATGGCTAGCTTAACTGCTTGCACTCGTGCTCATTTTGATATGCTTCAACAAGCAACCAATCTGTAAACCATTAACAGCCTGAACTACAGAAAAAGTGGGCTCCTGTGTTTCAAGGAGGTGAAGAACCCACTGACTGAGCTTCAAACCACATCTGTATGCCTGTGAGAAGAACTGTTCCAGGTGGCGTGCGAAGTTCTCTGGGAAAAGTCCTTTATAACCATTTGCATCTCTGTGCTGAAGCCACTCAGATTCCTTAATGCCTGTCAAGCAGCCTCCTGAAAGAGAAAAGACAGAGCATCTTCAGGGTCAGCTCTCTCCCATTCCTTTCTGCATACTCCAGGCCTGGAGAAGTTTTAGAGTCATACGGCTAAAAGAAGTGATGATTTGTTACATAGCATACTGTGATTTTGCACAGACTGTTTTCTCTGTTCTGCCATGGTTTTGTGAGACTGTGAGCACATTAGATGGCCTTTATCCCACCTAACCTCCAACTGAACTGAACATTGGATAATCAGCCTCTGGAGTCATCCAGTGTTACAGCAAACCTGCATTTGTGCAAATGCACGTGGAGATGTTTTCGAAGTTCTCACAGCAATATTGGGATACTTACACAGTAAGAGCACAGCACTGTGCTAGAATCATTATAGAATGCCACAGATGAGGGGGAAAAAATCCATGTTTTCATCTGATTATTTTTTTCTGAGTGTTCTTTTCTCTCATTCCTGTATTGACAGAAGAAATAACAGTTCTTGTTTTCTCTGCCATCATAATTGCTAGAAACTAAAAGTCAGTTGATACTCAACAACCTTTTCCAAAAATTCCTGGAAGCTTCAGCCTAAGCCAGATCTTGACATGCAATACTGCAATCCAAATCCATCAATCAAAAGGAAGATTTCTTGTTGGAAAGTGCTGGGTTCTCCTAAGTGCTATCCATTTCACCTGGAATAAAACCCGTGCAGTATTTTTGCAGTGATCAGCCTATTTTCATCTCACCACATGGCTAACTCTGTGCTTTGTTCCTTTTAAGAACAGGAGTCAGAGAAAAGTGATGATTAACAGGGAATTTCTAATTTCTAATGCTAATTCATTATTATTCTACAGACAGGACAAAGAGAGATGGAGTAACTGGCAGCACGTTTTTGAAGCTCACCTTTTGGAAAACCTGAGGTGGGGGAACTGAAGTTTTCTACCATGGACAGAGTAGATTCTGCTCAGGACTGAAGTTGTAATGGATGATGACTTCAACTCAATAATTATGGATAAAAGTTGGAGTCACTGGCTGGGATGAGTTGGCTTTGCACAGGGAGCACAGGCTGACAGCACTAGCTATCTCAGAATGATGGTTTTAGATCAGTTTTGCAGGAGAAAAAAGAACCAAGATCAAATACTCTCTGTAAATCAACAAATTATCTGGTAAGAGAAAAATTGAGTTCTGCGGTGATGTGAAACACGAAGGGCAAATATGCACTGAGTAATAAAGATATGAGCAGAATGATCTCAGCAACACAAATACATGGGGCTTCATTTTCTCCATCACTGCACACGATTCACTCCAATGAACACTAATGGGATTTGGATGCACACCACAAGAGAAAAATAATCAATGGATTCACCAAGGGAAGGTTATATAGATTTAATACAAAACATAAGAAAAAATAACTGAAGACAGCCTATTTTTATATCCTTAGAGTAGGTTCTGCAAATACTGACAATGAAATCAGCTGAACAGCCCAAGAGGTGAGGCAGCACAGTTTGAGTAAGCATAAGAGGATCTGTCCCTACAAAATGACAAAGTGTCCCAGTGAAAAGGAAAGTAAAAATAATTTTTATTCAGAAGCAATAATAAAAAAGAATCAAAACCCAAAGCAATTACTTGTCTCTTGCATTAAGAGAGAGTTCAGCTTGTCAGCGCTGACAGCATTTGGGCATGTTTTAAGAACTGCTCTTCATTCGGAGCAGAGACCTGGCTGTCTCACTGTGCAGGTCCAGAGCCCAACCTCCCAGCCCCCAGTTCAATGGGATGCTTTTCATCAACACTTCCTGCCACTGCAGCCACAAAGTGGCTCATACAAATTGTACAAGATGGGCTGCTCTTAAAGAGGATGTAAAAAATTCATTCACTTGACTGCAAATCAATATAATGTGTGGAATTAAATCGTTTAAAAATTAACCTGAAACACGCTGTTAAGACAAAATAAAACATCTTAAGTGACACTGAACTGTTAGGCTCTTGCACCAAAGACAAAGCTCAAGAGCACAGCTGTGTGAGGCTCAGGTTCCAAGAGGCACACAGGACATGTAGGAACACCTCTGTGCCATTTGGCTGCAGGACAGAACTGTTGGTGTGCAGTCTCAGTGCTCTCTCTGGGCAAATGCATATTTCCCCAGATCTCCATGTAAAACACTGAACATGTGGGGAAATACAGTCAGTTCCGACCCAGTGTTGCAACAACATGATAGCAGGGTGCACAATTCATAAGCCATCTTCTGTATTCAGCCTGTGTCTGTATGTAAGCCTGTATAAAATTCACTACAAAGTAACATAAAAGAGCCCTAGAAAAATGCACTGAAGTTGGATCCTGTTGGCAGTACATACCTGGGACTTTAGCTTAGTTAGCTGTGCTGCTTGGTCACAAATCAAACCAAGTAAAAGGGCAAAATAAGAATGTTGGTCTTTTCTAACAGTAAAGGTGTTTTGAACCAACATTTCAAATTAACTATAAAGAGAAGGAAACTGAGACAAATGGAAACATTAGCAAAAGAAATAACTAATCATGTTGTTGTTACCTGATCAGCTGTGGTCTCAGAAGGAATTACTAGTGCAATATCCCCTTGTTTTAAATTATGCTCATCACTGTTAGCTGCCTCAAAATCATGCAGAACTTCAACCTAAAGGAAATACCAAATGTACAGAAATGATCAAAACAGAGACACTGTGAAAAAAGAAAAATGTACTCTTTCACTTCTTTCTTTATGGAAATACATGGGCATAGATACATAGTACATTCAAGCTGTTAATGTTCACATCAAAGTTTCTAATCACACTTCATGAAACAGGTAGAGCTTCAGTAAATCTTCCTGAAACTACTGAAAGAAACCAAACCTCCTTTCCCAAGGTTGCAGAATCCCACAGGTGCTGCCTCTTGGACAAGTCCTGTTACATTATTCCTACCGTGCAAGGAACTTGCCTTCATTTCCCACTATCATGACTAGACCCGAGGAGAGGGATGGCAGGATTTTGCTAATAAGCTTGGAAAAGAATCACAGGAAATGTCCCTTCAGACCCTTCCTTATGCTGTCTGCTGGATACTGTGATTGATGTAAACATCCCTGGAAATCAGAGTGAGAGGTACAGCACCAATTTCAGTGCAAGACAAAAGAAGTGAATAATGGGAACCACAGCTCCTGTTTGTCCTGGAAAGAACTCCCATTCACTGGCAGACAGGAATGCCAAAAACATCTCTCTGTCAAAGAGGTGATCATTAAAACATTTGTGGGGTTAGCACACTGTCCTGAACAGACCATTTAACTAAATAGCTCTTCCTCCTGAAGAGAGGCACTATCCTAGTTTTCTCAAAGCACAGACAGTTCCGTGGTCACTGCAATAATGAAACAATACAGCATCGAGAACCAGATGGCAGTCGTGCATTCTGCTGCTTCTTACTTATGTTCGACTCAAGGAAGCGTGACAAAAAAACAAAAGATGAACAACAGATGAGCAGGTCTGCACCAAAACTGCACAATACCGGTCACTCTAACCTTAATGTCATTCTCACTGTTTGCTGAAAATCTTGACCAGTGACCTTGGATCAGAAGGAATGGCATATTTAGGGAGAGCTATGGGACTAACTAGTCTGAAGTATGCAAATGATAGCAGGAAGCACATAAAGTTCATCTAGCCTCAAGGAGCGTTTCTCCTGCTCACTGATTCTGAAGTGAAGGAACCTTGTGAACCAGGAATCTCTGTGGCTCTTACCAGCCAAGGAGAGGATTTCCCTGCAGCTTCATTAAGCTTTTCTGCCTGAATACCCTAACAGTTCGTAAGTACAGTAATACTAAGGACATAAAAGGACACTTCTACTTCATTACAGTGAATTGTTGAAGTCCCACAGATTTCAATAGGGCTGGAACTTCCTCTACAGATTCTCAGGCCAGAAAAATGCCTTTTTGGTACTGTTAGCAAATGATCGTGTGATATTAGTGACTAAATCACTGGCAGTGAAATTTTACTTAAAAGATTCACTGTCAGTACTGACTTGGCAAGATGAAAGGAGACCTCTAATGATTCTTACAGCTACAGAGGGATATAACCAACAAAATCCAAGTGCAGAAAATATGTTTCTCAAAATTCATGTATGGAGAAGAAACACAACCAAAGGTTGGGTGAGTGCATGTGCATGCAAGCATGTGGCTGTGAAACCAGGCGTCCTTTGGCCTCAGTAAACCATCGTAATGCCTCAATTTTCAGACACATCCACAGAAGCTAGATGTGAAAAGATGTCTAAAAGAACAGCAAACAAGCAGACCTTAAAGAGAAAGCCCAGTGGCATGTCAGAAGCTGTGCCTCCTGCTGATGCAGGCTGATCTTGAGAAGGTGCAGTCTGGATTTCTTCAGTTGGTTTCTGCTCACTTCCAACTTGGCAAGTTTCACTGTCAGTGCCCATCTCTGCTGCAGCATCTTTGGACTCGTTAATGATGACATCATGTTCTTCTCCTTCCCCTTGATTGTTTGATGCTGGCTCCATTACTACTGAAGGGATGCTGCTGACCTTTTCCTAGGAAAAGAAATAAAATACAACAAAAGCACCACAAGAGTATTTCCCACTTTATTTCAAGTTGAAAAACATGTTTCTTTACTTCTGCTGCAGGTGGGATTCTTACCTCAAGACAGAGAACAATAATTGTGCAGAAAAGTAAAAGTTCTAAGAGCTTAGAGGAACACAAGTTGAAAAGCAGAAGTGACCTGGACCTCTTTCAGGGCTGTCCCAGTGTCCGGTGTGAAATCCATCACACGCCAGAGCACCTTCAGGACTGAGGGAGGTTGTTGCCAAGAGCCATGGGACACATTACTGTACAAGACTTACTATGGGATGTTTAAGGGAGAAACCAAAAGCAGTGGGTGGATTGGGGTGATTTGGGGAGGAACAAGTGTGGGACAACAAAGCCAAAGATAACAGCATAAATGGGCTGCTTGCATGTAAGCAGTGGATAGTTCAGATGTTATCTGGCCATGTGCTGCACCTGATGAGTGTGGTCTGTCCTATCTTCTCACTAAGTTGCTTGCTAACTCCTCTCCAGGGTGAGGGCTGTCTGTTGTTCTTGCCCATGTGTACACTAGGCTCAGACCGTGGATTGGAGGGCCTGTGTGCCCATCTGCCAGCTACAGGAGAGATCCAGGTGCCAGCCACTGGAGACACTCAGGTGAGTGGACTTGAGTGTTGTCAGCATGTACATATGAATATATGTATTCTCACTAGTAGATCTCTACCTGCTCAGCCAGAGGTGAACGCGATGAGGCCTCTGGTAATGCTTGTGTTTGTGTGAGTACCCCGTGTGCCTGTCTTTGATTCCCATGGCTGTCTGTGTGTGTACAAATATGTCTGTGTGCTCTGTGTGCGCACTGACTGAGAATACATGCTCATCCTCACTGCTTGTTGGACCCTGGGGCATGGAGCTGCATCAGCCTTGCCTGTGCTGGAGCTGCTGGATCTGGCTGGATTCCTCTAACGCTCCCCACACAACAACATGAGGTACCTGAGAAATATCAATCTCCTTTTCTTCTCCCTGAGGTTTGTCACCTCCAGCAGCAGCCTCCTGTCCCGTGGGAGCAGCACCCTCACCAGCTCCTGCTGCCACCACCACACTGTCTTCCACTCCACCGCCCCATCTGCAGCACTCACCACCTGCAGAATAAAAGGAGAAACCTTTCAGGACATGAGCTGTGCATATCAGTTGGAGATATCCTGTACTCTGTGATCTTCTTAGGTGCTGCCGGCCCCTGGCTTTGGTTTCACTGGGGTTTCTCCTGACCCAAGGGGGAAAGCAGCACTGGAGGCTGCCATCCTATACCTGAAGCACCATGTAGGGAGCACAGGGGTAGGCTTGCACGACAAAGCTGATTTACAGGCAGGAGAGGGACATTTACAAAACCTTCCTGTCAACATGCAGTAGAGTTTCAGATGGGTATTGCTAGTGTAGGAAAAATTTCTCAAGGCTCATGTGTTCTCACTGCCTCTTCTTTCTCAGGCTTATACAATGGCCTCCTTCCACTGCTCTTTGGAACACTTATGGGACTGCATTCTCAGGGCTGATTTGCCTCCAAGCTGTGTGGTGTGAGAAATTCCCTGCAGGTTCAAGGTGAGTTGAAGCTTGGCAAACTGTCCGGAGGTCCCCTGTGCTACTGAAAGTCTGCTCTAGGGAACAGGCTGCAAGTCTGCTCCAGCTGCTGTCTGCCATCTCTAGACCTGGACTGCCTTCGAGAGCATTAGTTAGACTTCTTTTGAACAGAGATGTGCAACTTGGGCTATGCTAGCTGAAGCAAATATACTCTACAGCTAGATAAAGCGTAGAAATATGCAGATGTCATCAGGTACCAGAAAATGTTAGCCTATAGCTAGGCTCATTTTAAAGAAGAAAGAAACATAAATAAAGACCCAAGTAGATTTGATATGACTGAATCATTTGTCATTAGTCTGTGTTGAAAAGTCAGTATGCATTTTATTTCAGTAATTGGAAGGTGGATAGAAAAGTACCTTCCTGAAGGCCATTGCTAAATCCTTCCTCCAGCAGAGGTAATTTATGTATCACCCCAACATTTGTGTTGGTACACACTGGTATTTGTTTACAGTTATATACTTGAATTAAGTTTGCTGTAGATTCATCTTGAGGCTTGATGATGAAGTTAAATAAAAAAACACATTCTGTCAATTCAATTGGCTTCAGGACGTTTTTAACACTAAAGAAAAGCTGTTTTCTAGGTACCAGTGTCAAGCTAAGTTCAGCAGAAATTCAGTTCACAGCCTGATGCTCTGTTTCCTCAGTTTGATTTTCCACCCATGAATGAGACTAATGCAGCTCTCTGAGCTCAACTTGAACTGCCTGCATTTGTTCACAATCATTCTTCAGTCACTGTTTTTCAGCTATATCTACCCCTAGTGGCTGACATTAATTGATGTGGTAAATAAATTCTTCTGCAGTCCTTGAAAGCAGGAAATACTCCAGTGTTTTGCAGAAACCACTGGAGAAGTTTTAGCTTGAACCGAAAATTCTGCTAGGGAAGGATGCTCTGCCACAAACAGAAGTATTATCAAAAGATATGGACAAGTGTTGACATCTTCTCCTGTCACTTGTAAGGCATGCAAACCTGTCTCACAGAGTATTACCAATTTAGCAGTCTTGACCCAGGCTAGTACTCAAATAAATGGTGGTTGTAAAAGCCTTGGAAGAGACCAGTATGAAAGGAGGGGAACAGAATGCCTATCAGATTGATTTCATCACATGTGCTTCTAACAGCATGCTGCAGACATTGATCTTGCTGCCTGTTGTGATTAGGATCAACATTTATTTTGTATTTACTGGATTTGTGTAGCCAATTTTCTTTTACGGTGGAGGAGAACTTTAATTTACATGAGTCAGCTCACAAATAGTCAGCATTGAAAGGGTGATGCTCTCAACAGCTGTAGCTGTAACTCACTGAATGCACAGCACATTCACATATGCAGAACTGGGTATTTCCCGTGCCTTAGAATACAGAACCAAAGCAAGATAGATAATTAAAAAATGGCTTTTACAAAAGCATGTGTGCTAGTGCTGAATGAATCTCACTATTAGTATCAAATGTCTTTGATAAAGAAAAAAAACCACAAAACTAAACTAAACTAAAAAGAGGGAGACTCAATTCCACTGAAACCAGAACGAGAATCCCACACCTAGCTGCAATGGGCCACGTACTTGCAGGTATTTCCTGTCTTCGTTTTGAGAACCAACTCTACAAACCTGTTTTCCATAACGACACACAGACTAAGAGTATCCTAAGCCAGCTATCTGCAGAAGTGTTACTGAAATCTGCACAGCCACGCAGGAGAAAAAACAAGGGCCATCCAATGTAATGAAGGCTGTGATAACAGAGCCACGTGGCTTTGAGTTGCAGTAAAAGTGAATGCTTCTTTACCCAGGCTGCAGCTGGCTGCATTATCCTCTAATATAACTGTCAGCTCAGTGCAGTGCCCAGATTCAGCAGCAGCAAGAATGAGGCCATGAAGAGGAGGAGAGCAGCCGAGTCTGCAGCTGGGGGTCTGGGAGGAGCTCACTGAGCTCTCCCCATTTTCCAGAGCTGAAGATCTTGCTCCACAGCTTGATTTAGAAAAGGACTGGGTAATTTTTAGGACAGTTAGTCATAATTACAGCTCAGCCGTCTCATATAAGATCAAGAACTAATTATCATGCTTTAGTGAGCACACCAACTGCTTGCAGAGTCTTGGAAGGCTTTTGGAGTAATACTGCAGAACTGGTTATGAAAGTTGCCTCAGAAGGACAGTCCTCCACTGGAGCCAGGATATCAGCTTAGCAAACAGCCTGATCCCTGACAGCATCTCTTCTGCATTCAGTAATACTGCTCCTCTAAGCAGGTTAAACTGACCAGATAAAAGTTACTCTACAAGGGCACCTAGTTTGGAAAACAGAGGAAAGATGTATTTCAAAGGCTTAGCCTTTGTGCTCAGGGCAGAGCAAGGCATTTCTTGGCCCAGACTTGGCAGTGATAAGACAATGCTAGAGAAGCAGTGCAACTCACATTTGCAGCACATCAGCACCAGTAGCTATAGAAACTGGGTTTGATCTACCTCTCCCATCCCATAAATTCTTTTTAGTGTAATTCCCCTGGCTTCTACACAGCAGGCTGGTGAAGAGTATGGCACCAGTGAGGCAGGGCTACGGGTCACAGGAAGAAAGCAGCCCATGGCAGTGGGACCTCATCCTGGCTCAGCCATGCTGCCCAGCACGGACATCTGCTGGCTGCACATCTGGCTTCCCTGCAACACGGGGCACCCTGGGTAGCCACAGAGCATGGACATATCCCAGACTGCAGAAGGGCTGATGCATGCTCACATCAGTGTAACAAACTCAAGCTTGGACAGCTGAGCCTACCATGAAACCAAAACAAGTAGAACACAGTTTACAATCTGCTTGTATATGTTGTGGCACTAAGGCAAATAACATAATCCAACAGTTCATTAGCTCAGAGATACAGATTCTAAGCAATTACCAATGAGGAGTAACAATTTCTTTCTCATTCCCTACCTCTCTTCCTGCATTTAATAGGTAGCTCTTCTTCCTCTGCTGCTCTCCATGCACACTCAAAAACACTACAGTTTCAATTCTGTACAAAAGGATTGAGAGTGTCTTGCTTTATATAAGTAAAATACAACCATACCACCCTTAGATTTCAACATGCCCACCTGAAGAGAAATTAAGTATGTCCCTGAGTTTTTCAGTTGCTTTGTAATTTACCTAATTCAGTACCAGATTTGTATTTTAGAAAACGAACTTGTGGCATGATTATTTTCAGCTGTGCAAGGAAAAACAAATGATGAATCAAAATTCCTTTTCCTTTTTAAAGATGTTCAGAGGAAGGCTCAACAAACAAATTCAAGGAAAATGTAAAAGCTACTGTGAATCTATGCAGCATATTCTCTCTTTACCACAAATGTCAATAGAAACAGCATTATACCACTTTCTGTTCATGGATCTGTATGTTTTCTGTCCCAAAATATTTATCAGTCAGTACTACTGCAACAGGCAGTTTCTAAGTAGGTCTTGCATTGAATGAGAAATGTTCTGGTACCACAGCTGGGTCACAGTCATATTGTATTGTCTGCACATTGATTACATGCAGATGACATATATATATTTTTGCCACGCTCCTCTTGAAGATATTAAAGCACAACCAAATTCCTGAGGCTGCTCATACGTACCTCGCTCTCTTTTGCAGCAATTCCAGTTGTCTCCTTATCTCTGCCTCGATATTCTCCTGTATAAAGAGGAAATATGGTCACCATCTTATGCTTAGGGAATGACTGCAGAGAAACTGGCATTAATCAAGCTTAGTGGAAGAATGGCATGTATGGGATGTGATGAAATGAATGGTGGGAACTAAATGGGACAGCATACAGGGAGTGGAAAGATTCTCGCTGCTATATATCTGAAATAAAGGTAGCTATAAGACAAAAACAGAACAAAACAAGAACACAGCAAAAAACCATATAAAGAAATAAAGCCTGTTAATTACATAATGATCACCACACTGGAAGTGCTAGTGTCAATTTTATGTACTTTTGCTGTCAGTATTCTCATAACAGCACCATACTGGATGAATGTTTTTGTTAAGCAACAGCCCAGAACATTGCTGACCTTACAGTTTTCCAGCTACCTCAAATTTCTCCCACCCAAGACTCAGAATGTTCCCATCATAACCTGCTGCTGCCCCTGCAACTCACCAGTTTGCAGGAAAACTTTCTGGAACACTTCTTCCACACACATTGGGCTGAAACACACGGCAGGGGATTGTTCAAAGAGGTGGGTCACAAAGCTCATCAGTTTGTGCAGAATCACTTTCCTCCAGGTCCACACTCAGCTGTACATGCAGTGGGTGCCTGACATTTAAAACAGCAGACATGTGTCAGTGGCTCTAAATCTGGCACCCATGAAGATGTCCAAGGAATCAATTGCTCTGAACAGTGATGCTCTCCACCCCAAACAATACTTCTTACAGCACAGATGGGATCTAACACAAGGTCCTTTCCTACAGAAGCTGTAAAACTGCACGAGTTCCAGGTTTTGGAAGAGAAAAAAATGTACAATTTCCTAAACTCTGTGGGACAGTTGCGCCCCTGCTGGTTTCCAATTCTACTGTAGCATTTTGGGATTCAGCAACATCCCTTCTGCTTGAGCTTGGATTCAGTTCTGGCTATTGCTTAGCCTGGATCAAGAGGTTCAGGTCAACAAACAGTCAAAATGGCTGTAATTCATGTCTCAGAATCACAAGGTTAGAAACGACCTGCAAGATCATCTAGTCCAACCACCCTCCCATTCTTATTAGTACCACAAGCTACTAACATCTCGTAGCTCCTCATCCAGGCACCTCTTGAGCACTGCCAGGGACGGCATCTCCACCACCTCCCTGGGCAGCCATTCCACTGCCTGACCACCCTCTGAGAGAAAAAGTTTCTCCTAATATCCAACCTAAACCTCCTCTGGTACAACTTCTGGCTGTTTCCTCGGATCCTACTATTTGCTTGGGAGAAGAGGCCAGACCCTTTTGCACCACAGCCTCCCTTCAGGAAGTTGTACAGTGCAGTGAGGTCTCCCCTGAGCCTCCTCTTCTCCACACTGAACAATCCCAGCTCCCTCAGCTGCTCCTCATAAGACTTGTGCTCCAGACCCCTCACCAGTTTTGTTGCCCTTCTCTGGACACGTTCCAGGGCCTCAATGTCTTTCTTGTAGTGAGGGGCCCAAAACTGAACACAGTACTCGAGGTGCGGCCTCACCAGTGATGAGTACAGGGGTCTCGTTTGGAAGACTTGGAAGTGCTTTTCTCTTCTGCTCAGTCTTGGCTTCCTGCAGATTGCAGGATATTTCTAAAGATGCTTTTCAGAGGAAAAGTAAATCTAAGCCCCCTTATAGAAATCTTGTTCACTAATAAATGTTGAGGCTGCTTTGCAAACATGTCAGATTTTGCTTTGCAAATACGTCAGATTTTTCAAAAGCCCTGTAAGGGTGAAGATAAGTCATGCAGATCTGTGTGAGTGCAGGTAGATCAGATCACCATCTTTAGCACTTGTGATCAGACCTCAGTGCTCAGCCTCCAGCTCACTGCCTCCACACACCTGCCACACCAAAATTCCTGCACGTTTCATCTGAAATGCCTGCATATCATCTTGTTTAATAAAAGGATGCTGCGTTATATCCAAACTTCACTTCACTCATGTGTTTTCTAAGCTCATCTTCCTGCAGTCACCTCGTAAGACCCAGACCTGTCCAGGTGCCAGGGCAAGGCAGCTGCTGACAGCAGCATTACCATGCAAACCCCTCACAGCTTTATCCTGCTAAAACTGCAGTGTGACATCACCTCTTCTTTTATACATACAGGATTAATTCTTCTTTCAAGCTGCCAAACCATGCTGGGAAGACCTGATTTTTACATTAATTTTAAAACAGACTGTAGAGGGTTTTAAAAAGAAAAAAATCCCACAAGCTTCAACTGCAAAATAGAATTATTTCTTACTCTAGCAAAGCATGCATGCTTGCTAGAGCATGTTGCTCTTTTTTTTTTTTTTTAACAGGAGAGGTAAACAAATATTTCTATTGCCTCATAAAAGCTGTGTGTCTAATGGTAATGGCAAGTTGGTACAGAAACACTTTTCTGACTTGTACTATTAAAAAGTGCTGAATTTCTTAATAAGCTGTATTTAGAAGTCAATTTGCCTTCAGAAATGAGCACTGCTCTATGTCAGGAATGTGTTTGTCCCTACCCTTCTCTTTTCAGTAACCTGGAAACTCTTTCCCATAAGAATTCCATCAACCAAGCTTACAGCTTGGGCCTCATTCCAAAATTTGATGCATTCACACATATACTTTTAAATGAGGGCTCGTTTCAAGCATAACTGGAAGCAAATTTTTTGGGAAAGAGAAAGGTAAGGAGAGTTGCCCTTACTTCTTAAGGACTATTTTGTACTGGTAAAGTTAGCAGCACTGATCTTTTGATTAGTTAGGAGTTGGGATGGTAAGGATGACTGAGTTTTAGCAGGGAAGCACGGCAGTGCAATGTTTATTTTTATGCCATGCTAGGCATAAACGTCTAGTAAATAGGATTACTGAAACAGTGCCTAAGTAATGCTGCAGTTCCATAAACAGAGTGCAATCTGCCTCTGCTGACTTAGAACAGAAGAACACTGTTCTACATCAGTTCTCCTCCATTTTTGAAAGAAATATTTTACCTTTAAATGGCCTCATACTCCAGTGCTGTACCTGTACTTGGCTCCATGCTCAGATTTCAGACACAGCTGACCACTCTTCTTTGCACTGCTCTCCCAGATCATACAGTCTGCAGTTTGGGTGCCATGAGTTGTACCTACGGTGGGATTCAGCCATCATTAGACATCTCTAAGCTGAAGGCTCTTTCTTGGCCTCTGTCACTGTTCGGTGTCTGAGAGAGCTTCCAGCTGGCAGTTTCATATGTGCCCACACAAAGCTTTGAAAATCACTGTGTTTAGCTGAGTGTCTGTCTGATGGAATGAGAGAATATTAAAGCCCAGGCAAGCACCAGACCCAAAGCACAAAAAGGCTCTTTCCAAACCAAGGAGCATCTGGAAGTCAAAATAGCTGATCTCTGAGTAATGCTGTGAACTCTGGGTGCAGCATTTCACAGATAGGACAACAAAATAACAAGACTTGCTACGATTTCTCTTTGTTCTGTATACTTGTCATCTTTGCCTGACTTTGAAAAATTGACGTGGTGAGAGGGATATTATTATTTGAAACTGAAATCAATCAGTGGTTAATAAACAATATCTTTTAGACTGCATCCTTTGGATTTTACATACTATGGGAAGAAGAAACAAAACAGTTTCTGTGGGCAAAAGTCCACACAAGAAGGACTTCTTACCATCTGCTTCAGCTCTTCTGCAGCATGTGGTGATTCTGTCCCTCTAACTGTGAAAAATTTTGTTCCCTGCAACCAAAATAAGAATCAATGGTTGCCAGCACCTAACAGAAATTTATTTGTTCTGTGGCACCGATGGATCACAACAAGGACATGTAGTAAGATTCCATGCAGCAATTAAGATGAGCTCTTGGAATGAAGTGTTTGGCAATGCACTTCAGGCTGATTATGAAACTGTAAGTAACAGAACCCAAAACTCCTGAGCAGGGAATTGTACCCTGTTCTCTGCACTACCCCTCCTAGTTTAAATGAGAGCCCTACCAGAAAACTTACTCAAAGCTCCTGCAACAACTAATGACTGCCATACATTCTACCAATTAACGTGGCTTGACAGTAAATTCATCACAGAGAAATTGTGCTGAGTAGGGGCTGTCACCACAAACTTGAAATTACTAAAATCAATAGAAGATTCCTATCAGAAAGATATTATTAATATTTTTCCACTCCACTTTTAACTCATTAACACTTTAACTCAAGTCTTAAGTAACTCATTTTAAGTCACTCACAAAGTGAATGAACGCTGAACTGCTGCTGAGAAATGACATGCTTTCATATTCTGCATCTCAGTGAAATGTCCTCAGCTTTGATCACGGCTGTTGTTAATCCTGATGTTCAAGACTGTCCTTTGCAAGTCCTGGAAAGCAATTCCTGGAATCATTGCCCCTCAGAGCCAAATGAATAATTCTACTTCTGAATTTTTAAGAAATCAACACGGAGCTCATTTTCCTAGACATCTCTTCCAAATTGGTAAAGACAACTTTGTATTCTAAAGGTAACAGAAAATGAAAATAAACCCAGTCAGAACTGTCTGACTTCTATTTAATACCTATGACTTCCTCCTGGATTGCCACTCACTTGCGCCTCTCTCACTGTCTTCCTCTCCAACAGCTCTGCAGCCATTTGGAGCATGAAAGAACACGGATGAGAATGCCTCAGTGATGGTGAGGCAGCAAAACAGGTCACAGGACAGGGCCAGTGAACGGATGAGTGGTGCTGCACCTCAGCCTGCCATCTAATTAGCACTCAGACAATGAAGATTTTGGAGCTTTGTCTTCGTACAAGAAAAGCAGTTGGCTTCCTTTTAGAAAAAAATATTTCCGTCACAATTTTTCTTTCCTGTCTGAAATCCTTACAGAAAAAACAAACTCAAACCATACAGAAACAACCTTTTAAGCTTCTCTGATATCTGTTCTTCACTTTACTTACTGCCACTCAGTAGAGTGAGTACCAGAAGAGACCTCCTGACCAATGACTGATGTCCCATCCTTCCTCTACTCACCATCCTTT